GCTCCCACCCCCCAGCTGCTCCACCGACAAGGGGACGCTGCCCGGAGAGCAGCCCGCGGCCTTTCCTCTGCGCGTGGCCCCGGGACTCAGCAGAGCCGGGCGGCACAGGTGCTCCAGGCACGGGGGGGCAGCGAGGACAGCGTGTGGCCGTTCAGGGTGAGGAGTTAGTCGATCCGATCCCAGACTGTGCCTTGGATCCATCCGGATTTACCGAGGGCAGGGATTAAGCCGAAGGAAACCCAGGAACTGACTACGACGTTAATGGCAGACAGTGCAGCTGGGCAGAATCACCTGGGGACGAGGGTCGCTGCTTGGCCGCAGGGTTGTTGCCCAAAGCACGAGCCAGCAGCAAGGACTGGCCCAGTGGCTTTGTGCCGCTTCTGCTGCTTTGAATAAAAGATGTTTTCCTCTGCTGGAGGAGTAAAAGGTTCCCCCTCGCAGGCTGTTCCTTCAGGGCTGCCCTGGCAGCGGCGCAGCTCCGGGGAAGCTCTCGGGAGCGCTTCATGAAAATCCACGTTCATTATTGCCTCTGTGAAAGGGCACTTTTCTAGCTGAAACTGGTCTTGAGTTGGCCCAGGCCTCAAGCCATTTCCAGTTCCATAATTTGGCTTCTGAATGCAGCTCTGTGGTCTGCGGGAGCCTTGTGGCCGGGGAACACCTTCCCTGACGCCGTCAGACCCAGGCGAGCAGCGCTCAAACCGCTCCACGCAGCTTTCTTCAAGGGGTGTTCCCCAGAAGGGGCCCTCATCCCCCTCATCATCATCGTCCCCGTTCCCCTTCTCTTAATCTGAGAGCATCCTCATCCCAGGGCACCCCGCTCAGGCTGCACTGGGGGTGCTGGTGCCCCCAGGACCACCCCTCCAGGCAGGACCCGAGTGTGGCCGGGGGCTGCGGGGGCAGAGATTGCACCAGTGATCACTGGGAGGGTGCTGGTGGGACTGGCCAGCAGCGGCCCTTGGAGTTTGATGATGAAATGAGCTCGGTCCCTCCCACACTGTAATGCCCTAATTATTTTCTCCGTAGGAGATTAACCACGGCCGTTACTCCCCAGAGCAATTAGTCCTTCCCCCTCGCTCCTGCGCTCTCCTTAAGAAGATTTGTCGGGCTAATGTGCTGGTTGTGAGAATTATCCCAACAAGCCTGGCTTTAACAACCAAATCCCAGCTTCCGTTAGGGAATAAGGCTGGGGGGAGGCCTGGCCCGTCCCTGGGCCCAGCCGGGGGCCCCGGGAGCAGCTCGTCTTTGACAGCCTTTGCGCTTTGCTGCCCTGCCCACGCGTGCCGCGGTTGGGGGTGTTTTGGGGAAGGAGCCCCGTGTCCCCTCGGTCTGCAGGTCCTGGTGCTCCCTCCTGCGCTGTGTCCCCCGCCGTGCTGAGGACGGGTCCCCCCCAATTCCAGAGCCGTACCAAGACTCCTGATTTTTTTCCCTCATGCTAAAAGCGCAGCACCAGAGGCCAAAGTCACCTTCTGGGAGCAGGACCGGGGCTTTTTGTCCTTTCACCCCTTCCCCACGCTCCAAGAAGGGCGCCCCTCCTCGCTGGGGTGCACGGGGAGCCGCGGCCCCCGGCAGTGGGGTGGCAGCAGCCCTCGGCCCCCCCGACGCAGGGCTGGAGGCCGCCCGGCTTCTGCCTGCCAGGGGAGAACCTGCCCGCGGCCCCGGCAGCAGCCCTGGACAGATGCTCGGCCGACCTGGCGGCTCCCCAGCACACAATAAATGACGCCTGGCCGCCCCCGAGACGCGCGAGCAGCAATTTCAGTAATTGCTTCGGTTTCAGGCTGCACTTGATCAACCTTATCGTTGCATCCGACGTTCTCAAGGT